CCCCAGTGTTGGAAAATCAGACAGACCTTGTTTAGTTCTTAAGAAAGCAACTATTAGCAGTAATTCAGCATCAAGACCGGCCTGGGGTCTCGGGACTCGATTTTGGGTCTTGTCTCCTCCTGAGCTTCCCAGGCTCTGAGCTTGAGCCTTGTCTTTTGTGCAAGTTCTTTCCAAAACGCTCCTTTCACCACTTCGTCATTGACTCATTTGTGGAAGAGTTAAACTAGCACAGCTCTCAGCAGTCATGTCGGACTGTGAGTCAACAGGTAGAGGCCCAACCCGCCATAGAGCTCTGTCAAGATCAAGGCAGGCTGTGTTCAGGAATTTGGAATAAAGGAAACTAAATTCTAAAAGCAGCTTCTTCGCTTTAGTATTTTAAATAATATTAACAGTCAACTACCGAGAACCCATTATTTTCTAGGCAGTGCAAAAATTCTCCCTGCTCAGCTAAAAACTCAGAACACTGAGCATCAGAGATGGTTCACACATGGCCTAACAAGCTTAACACGATTTTACATGTGAACAGTCACAGAACCGGGGCTGCAAGCCCAGTCTGCATGGTTCCACATGCTAAAAGGTGAGTCACACTACGTGACGACACCGAAATTACAGTGTGTCCTCACTTCTTTAACCTGCTCAGGACACTGGTCTAGTGCACGTGTCCTGTCACATTCCTGACTGGGGCACTGGCCTCTAAGCCCAGAGCCAGGCTTTGCCAGGTCTATGCTGACTGAGGCTGATACCTCAACAGTTAACTCCTAGTACTACACAACATTCCTCTACTCAGTCCAGATGAGCACTTTTCCCGAAGTAACCTCCATGGAAAGGTAGAAAGCCAAAGGACACATGTGAGCATTGCACGCTCAGAAGTAGCCTATGAAGAATGGAGTGAGGGTTAAGCAGGGACTATAAATACTGGAGAAAACGCCAGGTGGTAACATCAATTTTAAGTACGAATTCCAAGCTGCTGAAGGAAAAAATAATTCAATTCAATAAAAATTCTGTTCCAGTGACTCCGCAGAATGCCATGGCTCATCTGTATCTCTCAAAGCTTCTTCACTGATGCGGCTTCTTCAGGAAGGACCAAGAGCCAATTCTAATACAGGAATTCTTTAATCATAAGACGGTCACATGTGACTACTTACTCTGGCATCGAAGTAATCACCCTGAAAGATCAAAGGCTTCGAGCATGAATCCAGAATACACGCTTCTCGGATGTGACGTCATAGACCCACAGGAAGAATCCAGCAAGTCAACTTTACTGAATTTATCATGCCATCTCCTTTGGGGTCATTCGGTTCACAGGCGGCTGGCAAACTAAGAGGCTCTATACTGGCTGCTTACTGTTTGTTATTAACTCTTTCCACAGCAGCCATGGCGCTGTTCTAATTCAAGCATGTTCTCGGTTCAAATGAGCTTAAGTCAGTGGCAGTTTTCAAGTCACCTGACAGGAAAGAGATTAACTGTGGCACGATGCTGCTACTGCAGCCTGGATCCCCACGAATCCCGGCAGTGAGAACCTTCCAGAAGAGCCAGCGGCTACATTGCTTCTTGCTAATCTTGAAATAAACTTTTATTTTCCTTTTGTGTTAAACCTGTTTGTAATTACTAGTGATGAAAAACGTGAGCAGTCCGGACAACTGTGTGTTCATATCACAGCACCTCTGGGCTGGAGGAGGTTGAAAGGCCCTGTCTGCAGCTACTAAATCCCAGGAGACACTTCTCACCGAGGGGCCACTACATGGAACACTATCCTCCATGCATCTTTGCGTGAACCTCTTAGAAAGCGCCCCTTCAGTGACCACGTATCTTTTTGACCACTGCTTCCACCAGGCTGCATCTCTAAGAGCAGGAGGTGGTGGCAAACGCTCAGACTCCAGCACTCAGGAGCCTGAGCAGGAGTACAGTGTGTTTCAGACCAGCCTGGGATGCAGGTGAGACCCAGTCTTTAAAATACACAAACAAAAGGCTGAGTGTGGTAGTGCTCATCTTGAATCCTGGCACTCAGGAGGCCGAGGCAGGCAGAGCTCACCCACCTGGTCTACATAGCAAGTCCCAGGCCAGCAGGGGATACAGGGAGACTCTGTCTCAAAAAAAAAAAACAGCAGCAAAAACAAAAACAGCCCACCTAAACCCAAACAACCAAAGCCCCCAAACGAAAATGATAACAACCTCCCAAATCTTAGATCTCATTGATAAGAATGACACCTAAAAGGACCTCCTTCAAGTCCTTCAAATGTTCCTAATACACAAGTCCCCTGGTAAGCTATAAAAGTTTAATTTAAAGCACTTGCTGCCAAGTGTGACCACCTGAGTCTGATCCTTAGGACCCCCATGGCGGAAGAAGAGAACCAACCACTAGAAAACTGTCCTCTGATCTCTACGTGCTCAGTGTGGCATGTGCATGCATACACCACATGTGTGCACATACCACACAAAATAAGTAAATGAAAAATAATTTAGTTTGGATACATACTGAAAATTATTTTAATTTTAAACATAACATTTAAAACACTGAATTACATAAACATATTGGTTGGCATGCTGGATAGCTTTAGTGTCAACCTGACACACCTGGGTTGAAGGAGCCTCAGTTGGGGAATTGCCTCTATTGGACTGGCCTGTGGCCATGTCTGAGGGGCATCTTCTTGATGAGTGATGTGGGAGGACCCAGCCCACTGTGGGTGGTGCCACCCCTGGGCAGGTGGGCCTGTGTTGCATAAGAAAGCAGGCTGAGCAGGGGCCAGGGGAGCAAGCCAGTAAGCAGCGTTCCTCTATGGCCTGTGCTCCAGCTCCTGCCTCCAGGTTCCTGCCCTGAGTTCCTACCTTGGGCTCCCGGATGAACTGTGACCCAGGAGATGTAAGAATAAACCCTTTCCTCCCCAAGCTGGTAGTGGTCAGAGTCTTTTGTCATAGGAATGGAGAAACAAACTAAGACAGTCAGCAACCGTTAAAAATTTCTGTTTATGGAAACTCCCTGCTACTGGATGGGTGGCTTTCATAGTGCTAGAAAGCAACATACAGGTGGCTAGGGGAGAACTGTCCCCTATAATCCTGCTTAACAATGGACCCGATGCCACCCTATCAACATTCCAAACAAGATGTTCCTACTAGTGCAATAGTGGCACATCTAGTATATGTACCAGCAAATTTTCAATTCAATATAATGCCTGCTCCTAGGGGTAGAACACACATCTACACATCTGGCACTGTAGACCCAGCCACCCCCCCCCTACCCCGTGGCAGGGGAGAATACAGGCCCCAGTTATGAAGCCACTGCAGTTGTTTTGTTAGATGGATGTGACATACCTGCTAAAGTACCATCCAAGCATTTGTGTTCACACCATAGGTTAAGTTCTTACAGCAGCCACTGCTTAGATGTTCTTTCTTCTTGCTGTATGTGTTTTTATAGTAGTTGGAAACCCACTGAAATGGGCCAACAGCCCATGAAAAACAGGTGAGGCAGAGACCCGAAAGTTCAGTGCCTCGTCACAACGAGAGGGAGATCATCCCACACCTACCAGCCCCTCCAAGGCTCAGGGACTTTTGCGGAAGAGGTTGGCGGAAAGAATGTAAGAGCTGGAAGAACGGGTGGATTGTTGATTGAAGTGTCCTCCGACCACTATGCTGGCAGCTATAGTCACACCTCCTACCCACGCTTGTCAAGGAGTCGATGGGGGTGGGTGGGAGGGGAGAATAATGGATTGCAGAGTGTGTGTCCCTGGATAGGACTCCTATATTAAACCTCACCCACCTATGGCTCAGGGACCATTTCAGAAGAGGGGATGGCAAGACTGTAAAAGCCAGGGCTGGCTCATGAACACAGGGAAGCAGAGGCTTTCAGGCCACTAGAAGCCTGCACGTGTGACCTTGTGGCAATGGTGGCATCGAGCACAGGACCCATGTCGACTCAATTAAAGGCCCAGAGAGGAGAAGAGAAATAGATGGCAGGCTGGCCCTAGACTGAGAACTATTGGAGACTGATTACTACTGGGCGGGGAGAGTATGCCTTACTTATGATCTCTAGATGGGCTGACTAGACTCCAGTAGACAGATTTACACTGAAGGACTGGATTGAACTTAACATGTACGGCAGGATACATGAAATCTGGCGGGGGTGGGGGTCTAAATTTGATTAAAAACTGTTGTATGAAATAATAAATAAATAAATAAATATACACAGATTAAAAGAAAGAAGATCAGTGTCTACTAGAGGCCAGGGAATAAGGGTAGGAAAGTGACAGCAAAGGACCACAGGAACTTTTTGGGCGCTCTATATGATTGGGATATTTTGTAAAAAACACTTGTCATTAATTACACCTTGGGAATTTTATCATTTTTAAACATAAAACTGACCCTCACCCTTCAAAAAAAAAACAAATAAATTTCTATTTATGTGTGCCTGTAGGTGTGTGTACATGGGCGCCAGTGCCTGAGGAGCCATGGGATCTCCTGAAATTGGAGCTGCCAGCAATTATGAGCAGTTCGACACAGTGTTGGGAAACAAACTTGGGTCCTCTGGAAGAACGGCCAGCACTCTTAACCACTGAGCCATCCCCCCAGCCCCCTGGTTAGCAACTTTAAACCCACTGAGTTGAAGTCCAAGTGGAGAAAAGGCTTCCACATTAATGTTTATACCTCCACTGAAACTCAGTAAATTCACACATAAACTATATTTAATGGTAATTAACTGCCCATAACTGTCCTTAATGTTTAACAGCAAAATGGTGTTAACCAAAAATATTTTGAAACCAGGATAACTCATAAATTCTCAGGTTGTATATGATGATTACATACCCCTAAACCAAGAGCTTTCATTCAAACAGGTAAAAACTGAACACTTCCCAGCAGAGGTAGAATGGGCCCTTCAGGAGCTCACTCGGACATCTCACATATGCTGAGCGATCCATCACAAGCTCAGAGTCCTTGCCACAGAACACTGTGAAAGGTTAGCATCACCTACATCTCAAAAGCCACGAAACACTGACACATGCACTTACCCAAGACTCATGGTACAAAACTGTGAGCAGGTACATTGCATAGTCGTAGTTCTGTCTCTTTAAGGGGCACCTTTAACAGAGAAGAGGAGGGAATCAAAGTCTGGACTCAAACAGTGTTAACACAGAAAGCCACAGCATTTTCAGTGCTTCACCCGAGGATACCGAATGCTGGTGCTGTTTCTGTCCGTGTTCTCACTATGGAGTTACTTGTACACGACAGCTTCATCGAGCTGTTTTAAATACGACGCTGTCCAACCCAAGCCTCCTCCGCTATCTCAGGGCTAAGACTCCCGTGGATAACACAAACCTGTCTAACGAGTTCATGTAAGAAGCAGGATAGATATGAGTCTTTCAAAAGGAGCTGTACAGCATTCTGCTGCTATTTTAAAACAGGACTAAGGGGCTGGATTGGCTCAGGGGTTAAGAGCACTGGCTGCTCTTGCAGAGGACCTGGGTTCAGTACCCAGCACCCAGCGTACTTGACACATATAAGTAAAACATATAAAACATATATAATAAAGATAATTTTTTTTTTTGGTCTTTTTGAGACATGGTCTCCCTGTAGCCCCAGCTGTCCTGGAACTCACTATGGAGACCAGGCTGGCCTTGAACTCAGAGATCCGCCTGCCTCTGCCTCCGAGTGCTGGGATTAAAGGCGTGCGCCACCACGCCTGGCTAATAAGAGAAATTTTTTAAAAATATTTCAAAATTGGACTCACAGCCCAACATTAAACAAAACTTCTTTTATATGAAATGGCACATGAAGCCTTTAGGGTAATAATAGTTAAAAAGGCAACAAGCACTTCCAATCTTTTAAATATAAAACCATCAAGTGACTTATTTAAATGTTCTCTAACTCTACATAGTTGTTAACATAAAGCATAGATTGACTGAGAGCGAGCAGATGCTCTCAACCCAGAGAAAAGCAGCATCAGCCAAGACCTTCTGTTAACATGTTAAAAGTATTTTTAAAGTGTGGTAACTCGAATTTCAACATCGTCTTGTATTTTCTGAAGAGGCCACAGGGACTCCTAACGTACTTCCAGTCTGCTTCCCACAGGAAGCAACAGCCACAGCTCCCATGTCTCTGCCTCACACTGGAGTCCCTAGTACATGTGTCCTGGCCTTCTACCCCCACTGCGGCTGGTGCTATGAGATGGGTGGATTCCGATGCCATCACGTGTTTCCAAACAGGGACGTGTCAGCAGGGAGATGGTAGATCCACCTACCCATTTTCTTTGAAAGTAAGCAATTAAGAAATACAATTTAGAAATAGCTAAAGTATGAGTCTAGGAATACCCATTTAGTAAAAATGTGCCCGAAGCCTCTCCTTGTATTACATGAAAATCATCCAGGTTATAATTGTTCAGACTCAACACAATACTACTTCTGTAAATGTCTACCCTGGCCCTGAAACTTGGCTTTTTACAGAAGAGTCTTGATAAATATCCACATATATAATTTAACAATTTTAAGTGTGAACTACAAGATTCATGTATGTTCACTCTGTAAAACCTGCTTAAGAGAACACTTAATCTATTTTATAGAGATATTGTCCGTCTAGAATCACAAATAAAACCAATTAAAAAAAGAAAATGGGCTGGAGAGATGGCTCAGTGGTTAAGAACACTGGTGGTTCTTGCAGAAGACCCAGGTTCGAATCCCAGCACCCACATGGCAGCTAACAACTGT